GGAAAGACTAGCAGAAGAAGCTAATTTTCGGGCTCTATATGCTATCATGTCTGCTGTAGATCCCACTCGTCACAAGATAATCATTCAGTGCACGACCGCTCAAGAAGCCTGAAGGATTTTGGAAAGACAGTTTGAAGGTACAAACGCGGTAAAAACCTCAAGGCTCCAAAGAGTTTCTACGGAACTAGACGAGATTCGCATGAGGGATGATGAGACTATTGACATGTACTATGCCCGGTTCTGCGATCTAGTAAACCAAAGCGCAATGCTTGGTGAACCGGTTCCAGAGGCTAGACAAGTGCAGAAGTTAATGAGAACTCTACCGGATAGGTTTGGAATTAAGATTACAGCTTTGGAGAGTTTTCAGAGAATTCAAAAGCTGGGCATTGATGACCTTCTCGGTGAGTTGCGTACCTTTGAAATAAATCATGAATTTGACTCGATGAAGATAAGGAAAGAAAAAGACTTAGCTCTAAAAGCCAAGGTTCGTACACCTGTGTTGGAGAAGGAAGATTCAGATGAAGAATCTTTCGATGCCGAAGAGGATTATGATGATGAGTCTCTTCATGCTGAAAGTATTGCTAAGGCTTTGGATGTTCTTACACGCCACTTTTCTCAGTTAAAGAAGAAAAAGGGATTCAAAGCGAAGAAGTCTACCGATTTCAGTAAGAACACCAACCAGCAGTCTGGTGAACAATGTTCCAACACACATTCTCAGAAGAATCAGAATCAGGACGTAGAGAAGAACCAATGCCGTGAATGCAAGGGATTTGGACACTTTCAGAAAGACTGTCCGAATTTCACGAGGAAGAACAAAACCTATCGAGCCACGTGGGATGATGATGAAGGCGACGATGACCAGCAACACACGAACAACTTTGTCATCACTTCTTCCAACAACTTCACGTGCTATACAGCCTCTCAAAAGCCTTGTGATGCAGATTCAGGTATGTGTTCTTACACGTATAATTCTCATAGTGATTCTGATGATTCTGGAGATGGTTCTTTTGAAGTAGACATGGAAACCCATAAGCTTGCATTAGCGACGAGCATCAAAGCTGGAAAACTAGTGAAAAAGCTACAAGCTCAAATCGAGGTGTTCCAACATCGTTCTGTAGAGCATGAGAAGGAGATCGCCTACTGGAAGGATGAACTTCAGAAAACTCACGTGATGAATGGCGAATTGAATGATAAGCTGACCAGATCCG